GTACCATTTGCAATCAGAAAAGACTTAAACTCCGTGGACAGATACTCACCACCTCGATCGGTGCGAAGCACTTTGATCTTGCGACCAGTGTGAGTCTGAGCAAGTTGTGCAAACATTTTGTATCGTTCAAATGCTTCTGATTTATGGTGCATAGGGTACACTACTGACCAGTTTGAGTGATCATCTATGAAGGTAATGAAGTACTTGGCACCACCAATGGACTGCACCTCTAAGAGGCCACAAACATCAGAGTGAACTAAGTCTAGACAGAAGTATGCCCGCCTCGAGGACCGCTCTTTTGGGATCACAGATCGAGTGGCTTTGCCGTAGACGCACGCAGAACATTTTTCAGAGATGCAATCATTGTCAGTATTGTTGATTTTGTTAGCCTCATTACCAAGTAGTTTGACTCCACTTACCACATTGTCACGAATCATCGAAGCAATACCTTGAGAATGCACATGTGCAAAGCGCTCATGCCACGTTTGCAGGGTGGCAGCATGTGCAGATCCGATGTCACTGACGATGTCGAGAACGTAAAGTTCTCCAACCAATGTCGCAGTCGCCACTACAGTTGAGCCTCGTCTGATCATGGATTTTCCATTTTCGAACCCAACTTTTAGTCCAAGTTCAGTCATTCGACTGACAGAGAGCAGAGAGAACGCAAAGTCCGGAACGTGCAATACATCCGTCAACTTGCACGGTTCGATGCGGCCATTCACATTTAACTTCAAGTGAACGTCACCACGGCCGGCAACCTTTGCACTAGCCTTGGTTCCCATCTGAACAGAGGCGGATTCAAGTGGCTCATACGTTGCAAACAGAGATCGGTCATATGTGATATGAGCTGTACAAGCTGAATCTACGAGCCACGAAGGCGACATCTTCATATCGTTCGTGTGCGAAGCTTTCGACATCAGACATGTGAAGTCGACGCTGTTTACAACCATGTCGGGATCAGGTTTCTGTGTGACAAATGCAGATTGTTTCCGCTGAGACATACGCGGTTTATATCCGCTAGGAGGAGCCGGGCGACGCCCATTCAAATCCTTTCCCCAGCAGCGGGTTGCCGTATGGCCTGTATGACCGCAGTTCGTGCATTTGTAATCGTTTATGTCCCGATTGTTCGGGGCACGATTAACCAGAGCCGATGTCTGTGAGGAGCTAGACTTCATGTTTGCTCGTTGCTCTTCCTGCAGCAGACGACTTTTCACAAAGTCCAAACTGAATATCTTTTCCTCATTACCGAGAGCATCAAGTGCAACGATGAGAGCCTCGAAACGGGCAGGCAGACCGTTGAGCACTGCCATGGCCATCTCCTTGTCATCGATGTTTACGCTCATTGACTTGAGGATGGCTGCCAGCTGCTTGACACGATTGATGTATGCAAGCACCTTTTCACCGGAAAGCATCTTCACAGTGTAGAACTCACGACGTGCAGCTAGTTTGTTCAGCAAAGTGTGCCTCTCAAACACGTTGACAATAGCTTCCCACATCTCATGAGCGGTATCAACATCACGTACATGCTCAAGATGCTCATCTGATAGGGAGAGACCAATCAGTGCTTTAGCTTTACTGTCACCTCTGATCCACTTCTTACGCTCTTCCGCGCGTTCCTCACTTGGAACTCTTCCCTCAACGATGTATTGGTCAACATCACGTAGAGCAAGCAGAAGTTGTATTTTCTGCTTCCACACGTAGAAGTTGGAGTCCGTCAGTTTGTCGATTCTGATGGATCCTCCTCCTCCTTGATCTTCCATTTTAGTGCAAATAAACTTCAAGTATTCGAAAATCCGTTCGGGGATCCCAAGCCGTTAACCGATAGTCAACACAATGGCAAGCCCACCCGTCTAAGAAGTTCGATATGATTACTATGAAGTTGCACTAGGAGAAATTTGCGAACAGATATGTGAATTTATTTGGAAGAAATCCCTAACTATTCTGTTCACAAACTACCTTTAAGTGTGCGGCACCGTTCTCGTGGCACTTCAGGTGCCCGTGAGACTCAAAGACGCGATTGCAAGGGATACAACGCGGAGTCTCCTTAGCGTTGGAAACTTGAATGCGATGAGACCTAGACTGAATGTGGTCGAAAAAGGCCTTCGCTCTATTGCCACTAACGCCGCACACTTTACAATACCGCTTATACCGCGGGCACACCTTACGATTCCTCTTGCGCTCACGCTTAAACTCTTTATCCGCGAGAACAGCCGCTTTCCGAGCAGAAAGTCGATGCGTAGTTCTCTTTATTGGTGCGGGAACAGAGCGCGGAATACGAGGAATCCTATATGGTGCGCAACTCGAGGACGGACCCGGAAGCGCGAGCCGAGGCGAAGGTTGATCCTCAGGCTCAAGCACCTCAACGGATACGACCTCCGATGTCCGAACCGTTCGACCGGTGACCAGCTTCCCAGGCGCAGAGCGCACCGGTACTAATTCCAGATCTAACACAACCCCGTAAAAACAGGTATTCACAATAAGGAATATGAAGATAATCGTCAGTAACAGATTTTGGAATTATTGCTCTTAAGAACCACCAAAACGTGCAAAGACAATCACTTAGATGTGTAGGAAATGGAAAGAAACTCAAAACTTACTTTGCATGAGAGAACGAAGAAAAACCAAATGCGAGATTGACGACGACGGCGGTAGCGGGAGCGGAAACGAAGACGAAGACCAAAGACAGAGACAGCAGCAAGAACCACAGCAAGAACAAAAGCCAAACCAAGAACGAAGACAACGAAGACAGCGGGGGCGATGACCAAAACCAATTCACACAAGAGAGCAAGAACGACAGCAGCAGCGAAAACCAAAACCAAGAACGACGGCAAGAACGAGAGCGACAACGACAGCGAGAAGACCAGCGGAAAGAACGACGAGAAACGGCAGCGAAAACGACAGCGACAACGACGGCAGAAACAACGGAACGAGAACGACAGACTCATGCAGTGAAACGACAGCGAGGGACTGGGCCCATAACCTAATGGTAGGTTCGGAGGGGCAAGGGAAAGAAGGAAGGCAGGTTGATGTGTGTGAGTGAAGGAGTTGGTGCCGAGGTTTACTTTGAAGCCGTTTTCCTGCAATACTTATACACTTCGAGTGCTACACTATCGCTCTACTCCGACTCCCAGTAAACCATACTCTACTATGCGCGACCAAGCGCGGTCCTCTTGTGGCCCGACCATACTGTTCGATTTCCACCTTACGAATCGATTCGTAACTATTAGCTCACAACTATTTCTACACATTCCAAATGACTGTAAACCATGGCCCTATGCATGCAACTGTTTCACACCTTACTAATCTGCATCCAGTCATGCCAGACTTCATTGTTGTGCAACGAACAACTTGGCACTTGTCTATTTCCAACAACGCAAACGTCTTTCATATCACAATCGCCATACGTATCCTGGTTTCTCACCTTACTAATTTCGCCAAGCACTGTCAGATAATTATGGCAAGTTATAACAATGTGCATCCAGACTTTCTACACAACTCACATGGGAATACATGTAAATCACACGAGTACTGTCATGAACTTGCATCCAACGGCGCACCATGACGAGAGCACAGTGCAACGGCGCGTGCTCACGCAAGACTCGCATACAGCGTGACGCGTACACAGAATAATCGCACAACTGTATTCCTCTCGCGAGAAGTACTTGTTGTACTTTTGATTCACATGTACTGTACTCGGACACGCGCAGGATCGCAAACAGTCTGACACTGTAAAACTGTAAACCCTCATGTGCATACACCTAGATGCGTGTACATGTGTACGTACACGAATCCACCTGGCGACGTGTACATGTGTACACGGCATACATGTGTCCCGCCCGGGGCCCCATGCAATTACCCATTACAACCATGGCAAACCACTTGAAACCCCCAAAACAACGTAATTATGGCATATACAGGCCATTTAAAGTACATCACAACGCCAATGACGCACACGTGGACAACACTCGACCAATAGATTTGCAGCATTAGACCTGTGGGCCAATAGAATTGCAGTATTTACTGTGTAGTCTATAGTGCTACGGGCCAAGGTTCCACTTGGCAAAACTATGCAAATTTGCATGACCCTCCGAGAGGCCACTTTCGTCCCCGGAACCCCAAAATCCGGGATTTTACACGTGTCATGTCGTGATATGGGTAAGAGCGCCCGGACCGTGCAGTCATGTACACGTGTCACTCGATTTTGACCTTTCAGATAACAGCATGTGGTCCCACATTTCAATATCTTGCTACTCAGCCAAACTGGCGATGGCCCAACAAACAGAACAGAAAACCGCCTTACGAATTACCACTGTCATGACGGAGAAATTAGTAAGGCAGTACAACAAAGCACAACAAAGCACAAATTCCCTTACTATTCCAAATCCAGCGTGGCACAAATTCGTAAGGCACGTTTACAGCTCACACGTTGCCTTACGAATTCAAATCAATCCTGCAAGGATTGTTTACAGCGCACACGTTGCCTTATGAATCTGAATCTCTCGTGAGGTCCTGTCCACTGTCAATTACAACAGTGCACATTTTGCCTTACGAATTCAAAACTCGCGCAACGGTATCTTTGTGCCCTGCTGTACCCGTGCTGCACTCCATGGACGCTGTAAACATTTGGCACGTGCCAGGCACCCGCCACCAAGGTTCTACACTTTGTCCGTAAGACTGTAGGCGTACTGTACGCGTCCGACAGTGTAATGAGGACATGTGTCCAGGTCATACACGTGTCAGGCGGAGAAAATGAAACATGCTCAGATCGTACAGTACACCGCAACCGTGTGCATATTTCACATGTGTACACGTTGAAAACCAAATTTGCTCCTGAAGTACTGTAGAGTGCAACCGTGTACAGAAATCACACGTGTACACGTTGAAAATGAAACTTGCTCAGCTCGTCATGCGGAGTGTTTTCGATTTTACACGTGTCATACCTGTCGTCGTGTGTCATGCATATCAGCATGTGGTCGTAGAATTACAACACTCCCCCTCGATCACATGCTTTTACCAGAAGTAGCCACTGCAAGCCCTAGAAGTTCTACAAACTTCTGGAACAGAACTCGCCCAAGTGCTTTCGTCAGGATATCTGCAGGCATGGAAGTGGTCCGGCAATGTGACAAAGAAATGACGTTTCTCTTAATTGCATCTCGTACATAGTGGTATTTCACATCAACATGTTTGTTACGACGGTTGACCGATTCATTCTGTGCATACGAAATAGTCCCTGCATTGTCACACCCCATCACAATGGTGGGATCAGAATCAAGTCCATGAACATCAGCAACCACTTGACGCAACCAAGTCGCCTCCTTACACGCTTCACATAATGCAATGTACTCAGCCTCACACGTCGAAGTTGCAACCACAGTCTGTTTCCGGGAACTCCAACTGATCGCTCCACCGCAGAACTTGAAAACATATCCGCTGGTCGACTTGCGAGAGTCTGAACAACCGGCCCAGTCAGCATCACTGAAGCCGAACAACTCCAGCGATTTAGATTTATTGTCAAACACGATTCCTAAGTTTCGAGTCCCTTGCACGTATCGCATTACCCGTTTCACACCTTCCCAGTGTGACTCACATGGGTTGGCAGAATGTTGAGAAAGCTTTCCAATCGCATATGCCAAGTCTGGGCCAGTGCCATAATGGTAGGTTCGGAGGGGCAAGGGAAAGAAGGAAGGCAGGTTGATGTGTGTGAGTGAAGGAGTTGGTGCCGAGGTTTACTTTGAAGTCGTTTTCCTGCGATACTTATACACTTCGAGTGCTACACTATCGCTCTACTCCGACTCCCAGTAAACCATACTCTACTATGCGCGACCAAGCGCGGTCCTCTTGTGGCCCGACCATACTGTTCGATTTCCACCTTACGAATCGATTCGTAACTATTAGCTCACAACTATTTCTACACATTCCAAATGACTGTAAACCATGGCCCTATGCATGCAACTGTTTCACACCTTACTAATCTGCATCCAGTCATGCCAGACTTCATTGTTGTGCAACGAACAACTTGGCACTTGTCTATTTCCAACAACGCAAACGTCTTTCATATCACAATCGCCATACGTATCCTTGTTTCTCACCTTACTAATTTCGCCAAGCACTGTCAGATAATTATGGCAAGTTATAACAATGTGCATCCAGACTTTCTACACAACTCACATGAGAATACATGTAAATCACACGAGTACTGTCATGAACTTGCATCCAACGGCGCACCATGACGAGAGCACAGTGCAACGGCGCGTGCTCACGCAAGACTCGCATACAGCGTGACGCGTACACAGAATAATCGCACAACTGTATTCTTCTCGCGAGAAGTACTTGTTGTACTTTTGATTCACATGTACTGTACTCGGACACGCGCAGGATCGCAAACAGTCTGACACTGTAAAACTGTAAACCCTCATGCGCATACACCTGGATGCGTGTACATGTGTACGTACACGAATCCACCTGGCGACGTGTACATGTGTACACGGCATACATGTGTCCCGCCCGGGGGCCCCATGCAATTACCCATTACAACCATGGCAAACCACTTGAAACCCCCAAAACAACGTAATTATGGCATATACAGGCCATTTAAAGTACACCACAAGGCCAATGACGCACACGTGGACAACGCTCGACCAATAGATTTGCAGCATTAGTCCTGAGGGCCAATACAATTGCAGTATTTCCTGTGTAGTCTATAGTGCTACGGGCCAAGGTTCCACTTGGCAAAACTATGCAAATTTGCATGACCCTCCGAGAAACCACTTTCGTCCCCAGAACCCCAAAATCTGGGATTTTACACGTGTCATGTCGTGATATGGGTAAGAGCGCCCGGACCGTGCAGTCATGTACACGTGTCACTCGATTTTGACCTTTTCAGATAACAGCATGTGGTCGCACATTTTCAATACCTCCCCTCGATCACATGCTTTGGGAAGCTTTGCACTCGGAAAGCCCAACCATGCCCACGAACTTTTCAAACAGCACGCGACCAAGTGGTTTGGTCAGCATATCGGCTGGCATTTCTGTTGTCGGACAATGGTACAATGTGACCAGTTCTCGCTGCACCGCATCTCGAACAAAATGATATGTAATATCAATGTGCTTGTTGCGACGATTTGTAGATTCGTTCTGAGCAAACGCAATCGTACCAGCGTTGTCACATCCAACGCGAATTGTTGGATCCGAATTCGCACCAAGTACATCAGCATGGAAGCGTCGAAGCCACGCAGCCTCTTTGCATGCTTCACTGAGTGCGATGTATTCTGCCTCACAAGTAGACTTTGCAACTACTATTTGTTTCCGGGAAGCCCAACTGATAGGCCCATCACAAAGCTTGAACACGTACCCACTCGTTGATTTCCGTGATTCAAGGCATCCACCCCAATCTGCGTCGCTATACCCATGAAGTTCCGTACCAAGATCATCTTTACCAAACACTATTCCAAGATGCTGGGACCCACGCAAGTATCTCAAAACACGTTTCACACCTGTCCAATGCGAATCGTGAGGGTCGGCACAGTGTTGAGATAACTTTCCAATGGCATACGCAATATCGGGGCGGGTCCCGACCATTAGGAACATTAGACATCCAATGGCCTGACGATATGGTTCAAAGCATGGGTTGTCATCAGTGCCAGTTTCGGCCACTTGCATTGTGACATGTCGAGACTGTTCCATCGGAGTAACGCAAGGATTGCATGCCGACATTTTGAACCGTTTCAGTACTGCTTGGGCATACTTCGACTGCGTGACGGTCAGGACGTGTTTAGAACGTATACGGTCGATCTCTAGACCAATACAAGTCTTCGCCTCGCCAAGGTCTTTCATATCGAATCGTTTGTTGAGTTCATTTTTCATCCATAATATGGCCTCCAAGTCACTTCCAGCTAGCAGCAGATCGTCCACGTACAACGCGATAATCATGATGACATTGCCTTGACGTCGAATGTAAAGACATGGGTCGCTGCGTGTAGTGTTGAAACCAAGTTCAGTGATCAGAAACTCATCGATCTTACTATGCCATTGGCGATGGGCTTGCTTAAGACCATAGATTGCTTTCAATAGTTTACACACCGAATCAGGTTTGACTTTGTCGATGCATCCTTCAGGTTGCTCCATGTAGATTTCTTCGTGAAGGTCACCGTTGAGGAAGGCAGTGACCACGTCCATCTGATGCAGCTCAAGGTCAAAGTGCGCAACCAGTGCCAGCAGCAGACGGATAGTTGTGAACTTGATGACAGGGGCGAAAGTTTCAGTGTAATCGATGCCTTCTACTTGTTGAAAGCCTCGTGCCACAAGACGTCCCTTTGCAGTTTCGACCAATTTTCCGGACTCGTCAGGAAGTTGCTTCACTCCAAAAACCCACCTGGACGTCAGGACGTTTGATGCTTGAGATCTTGGAACAAGTGTCCATGTTTTGTTTTTGTGTTGTGAAGCAAGTTCTTTGTCGATGCCGTTCTGCCAGAAGCGAGCTTTTGGAGAATCCATAGCTTGCCCGTACGAGTTTGGGATTTCCGTTATCACATGGGCGTGGCTAAGGAGTCCAGCAGTCACCAAAGCTGCTGCCCACCACGCCCCAGGCGTTTTGCGAATGCGAGTGGACCGACGGAGATTAGTTGGCGGATCAATCGTTTCTTCCTCAACTACGTGTTGCTCAACTGTTTCGGTAGTTTCGTCCTCCCCTGCACTTGGGGAGGAGTTGGAGGATTCATCAGAGTCTTCTTGTTCATCCGGCGATGATGCTTCTGATGCCACTGCATCATTTTCTGCAACTTCCTCATCGATGTTCAAGTTGATTGTGTCATCATCAGTTGTAGCCTCCTCGTTTGTATCCATCGGTTCACCAGATTTGCCTCCCGTGGACTCGTCAAAAGTAACATCTCTGGATACGATCACTTTGTGCAAATCACCATCCCACAACTTGTAAGCTTTCGTATTTTCAGCATACCCCAGAAACATTGCCTCCTTTGCACGGGCGTCAAGTTTCTGGATGTTGTGTTTTGGTAATGTATACCAACACTTTGAACCGAAAACACGCAAATGACCAACATTTGGCACAGATTTCATCCATAAGTGGTATGGGGTCATCTTGGGGGGAATGGCACGTGACGTAACTCGATTTCGAACGTACACCGCATTGGCAAGTGCTTCTGCCCAGAACCCCTTTGTAACTTTCTTGTGCGCTAGCATGGAGCGCACCAAGTTTACCAAAGTTCTGTTCAGTCGCTCGGCGACGCCATTTTGCTCCGGTGTGTACGCGGTCGTCATTTGATGCTGAGTACCATTTGCAATCAGAAAAGACTTAAACTCCGTGGACAGATACTCACCACCTCGATAGGTGCGAAGCACTTTGATCTGGCGACCAGTGTGAGTCTGAGCAAGTTGTGCAAACATTTTGTATCGTTCAAATGCTTCTGATTTATGGTGCATAGGGTACACTACTGACCAGTTTGAGTGATCATCTATGAAGGTAATGAAGTACTTGGCACCACCAATGGACTGCACCTCTAAGAGGCCACAAACATCAGAGTGAACTAAGTCTAGACAGAAGTATGCCCGCCTCGAGGACCGCTCTTTTGGGATCACAGATCGAGTGGCTTTGCTGTAGACGCACGCAAAACATTTTTCAGAGATGCAATCATTGTCAGTATTGTTAATTTTGTTAGCCTCATTACCAAGTAGTTTGACTCCACTTACCACATTGTCACGAATCATCGAAGCAATACCTTGAGAATGCACATGTGCAAAGCGCTCATGCCACGTTTGCAGGGTGGCAGCATGTGCAGATCCGATGTCACTGACGATGTCGAGAACGTAAAGTTCTCCAACCAATGTCGCAGTCGCCACTACAGTTGAGCCTCGTCTGATCATGCATTTTCCATTTTCGAACCCAACTTTTAGTCCAAGTTCAGTCATTCGACTGACAGAGAGCAGAGAGAACGCAAAGTCCGGAACGTGCAATACATCCGTCAACTTGCACGGTTCGATGCGGCCATTCACATTTAACTTCAAGTGAACGTCACCACGGCCGGCAACCTTTGCACTAGCCTTGGTTCCCATCTGAACAGAGGCGGATTCAAGTGGCTCATACGTTGCAAACAGAGATCGGTCATATGTGATATGAGCTGTACAAGCTGAATCTACGAGCCACGAAGGCAACATCTCCATATCGTTCGTGTGCGAAGCTTTCGACATCAGACATGTGAAGTCGTCGCTGTTTACAACCATGTCGGGATCAGGTTTCTGTGTGACAAATGCAGATTGTTTCCGCTGAGACATACGCGGTTTATATCCGCTAGGAGGAGCCGGGCGACGCCCATTCAAATCCTTTCCCCAGCAGCGGGTTGCCGTATGGCCTGTATGACCGCAGTTCGTGCATTTGTAATCGTTTATGTCCCGATTGTTCGGGGCACGATTAACCAGAGCCGATGTCTGTGAGGAGCTAGACTTCATGTTTGCTCGTTGCTCTTCCTGCAGCAGACGACTTTTCACAAAGTCCAAACTGAATATCTTTTCCTCATTACCGAGAGCATCAAGTGCAACGATGAGA